TTTACCTATGTAAAGCGAGTTTACTGACATAATTCCATTACCTTTTCTTGTATATATATCCTGTGTAAGTGAATAATTGAAGGTATTCTTACGCGGTGAATATATTATTTATCAAGTTGATGATGTGCATCAGTGGCACAGCGTGTTGCGTGCTCTATTTGACTAAATTAGCGTACACGTATTTCCTAGTACTTCTTCGCGTTTATCAATGTGCGTAGACGTTGTGGCTACTCGACGCCCACAACGTAAAACCAAAAGGCGCTTGTAAAGAGTGTAATCCTGTATTATAGAAGTAATCGAATTTCAAAATTGTGTCAAGGTAATGTTCAATAGTAAATTGACAAATAATTGCGAAGTACATATGAAATTGGTCTGTGTAAACATATAATATCAGTATGCAAATTATATTAAAAAGCGTACGTTTATAGTTGGTACTAAAAGCGGTTAGGACTCTCGCCGGCCACGCACATAGTCCGGGGTTGGATCCCCTGCCGACGCACACCTGGTATCAATGGTTGGCCTGCTGAATTTTTCCTACTGATATCACGTGCTGAAAACCCCATACTTGTGCTAAGAATACGGTGTGGAATCAAGCTATAATAAAAAATTGTATGTGAACTGGCGTGCCTCATGTGCACAAAATCAGAATGTATATTATTACTGTTATTCGTCAAAACGACGAAAAGTTTGGGCCTATTTACTCCTCAGACTTCAAGTTCTAGGGCAGAGCTATTACTTGGCTTGCGTTCTACAACTTTTGTTGCCCATAATCTAGACTGCTGTCACATAAACGTGTACTCCACAAACACTGTTCAATTATTTGATAAGGTATTTCACCCTAAAACTAAGGAGGCTTTCCTAAGAGATTTAACTTAAGGATTCTATTGGCTAGTATGAAAGTGCCGTTCTCATTTTGCTTAACCCTTCTAACATTATGCTCATAATCTGGATGAAAATTCTCCAAAGGATTGTAGACTTTCCTGAAACAACCTATCCTTCTTCATTCTATGGTCTGGACGGGAGTCATGGCCCTTTTTGCACCAAGACTGGCTTCAGTTTCTTTCCCTCTGAATTTAAAAGACACATAAAATTTTCAACCTAAGGTGAAATGCAGTGCTATGTAGAAGTATATGGTCTCTCCATGAAATAAGTGTTCAAAAATTGTTACTGAGTAATTTGTCGCAAGCTTAAAATCTGTCATATCGCTCTACACTTCCGTCATTTATTTAGCAGAACGGCTTTGTTTGAACTAGACAAAGCTGTCACACATATTAGGGTTAAAGTTTGTCTTCCAACAATTCCATCTCAACAAATGGCTCCTTCAAGGTAATCTACGGGGTCGAGGATAACCTGCCAAAAACAATATGCTTTCATCTGCTTTGTATTGCCAAAGTCCTAGTCATTCAACTGAAAAAAGTAGAGTTATGTATACATCGTCAGGGGATCTTGAAGACTAGTCTCCACAACAAATTAGAGGAGCGAATTTGTGTCCTACTTAAATCACTGGGCTGCCTAAATTTTCTATCTTTCTAAATGCATCGTTTTCATAGTCATGTCTCAGAATCACAATGAATACCCAGGCACATTTCAAAATAAGCTTCCGACCATTGTTGCGAATTTTCTGAACGTAACGGAGGAGAAACATTGTGGATTATCGGAGCATGTCTTAGATAAAATCATAAAGCTTCACTTGATGTATTATCGTTTATTATATTACTTGAAGAATCCATACAAGCAGTAGTTACCTCCCATTAGAATCTTATGGGTTTCCGAAGTGAAGTTAAAGTATCATAGCCAAAGTCAAGTGTTGACCATAAAAAACATTCAGATGTACAGAGCGCTGTGAAATGGCATTCCAAGTGAAATTATGCCTACCTTTTTGAACTTCAAGAGAGTATATATATTATTCTACTTATTTCCTATGTACTTTCTCTGTAAATCTATACTCTTAGTTAGGGTTATGGTTTTTAAGTTCAAGGTGTAGGTTCCAGACTAAAGGTTAGGTTTAAGAGTTAGAATTATGGTTAGGGTTACGAGTGGTTCGAAGAAGGGTGTCAGGAATATCAATGGATATCAAAGTACCATGACCTGCAGTCACCCGGATTAATGAACATATCGCACACACTACGATCTCTCTAAGATTCAAACTCGGATTCCACTGAAGCGATGGCTTGCAATGCGCATGGTCTCATTCGACTGTCTTCTCAACGTATGCCCAATCAATCCATCTTCATTTTCTTCTACATATTTGTTAAGCGATCGGCTCCTGGTTGGTTTGTCGCCAGAGTTTCTTGTTGCTAATTCTTTCTGACCGGCCAGCCATTTTTTATTCAGTATGGAGACAGTGTAGGCAGCTGTTCATAAAAGTCCGGCACTTGTTGGAAATGCTTTTCGTGACACTCAGGTTTCCGAAAAATACAGGATAACTGACTGACTTCACATTTGTGTTAAAAATCCGAATCCAGTTCTTTACCCTGGCTGAGTGCAGAAGAATTCCAGACTGGCTTCAGGTTGATGAAGGCGTATCTTGCCATTCCGATTCTGGCTCAGACATCCCCATCCACTCCGCTTGTGATTGATTGAAACCGTGCTTCCTAGATAAGTGAAGCCAGGAAGTAACCTCAGTCGAATCTCTCTTACTGATAGTGATAACTGCTTGTTGCCGTTGGCTGGCTGTTCGCATCACCTCCATTTTCTCTATGTTCACCTGGAGTCCTGTCTTCACTGCCTCTCCAGATCCAAATTACTCGCGGAATCCAGATCTTCTGGAATCTTCTTATCGGTGGTTCAGCGTATTCCTGCCTCCTTGTTCCTGAAATTTTGTCGCATAATCCACTTCACCGAAATCAGGAATATCATAGGTGATAATAGGCAGCCAGCTTGTCTTGCTCCGGTATTCACCTCGAACGCCGCACTGAGTTTTCCGTTGTGGATCACCTGACACGTGGCATTATTATGTAGCTGTTAATAGGGTTGATAAAGATACGGACTAGGCCACGGTATTGAAGTAGCTTAAAAGTTACCTCTCGGTCAACGCCGTCGACGGTTTTTTTGAAGTTGATGAATTTGAGGTAGAGAGAGCTTTAACTACCATTATGTGCTTTGTTCGATGGCGATGCGTGGAGTCGCAATTTGATCAGCACAAGACTTGCTTTTCCGGAACTGAGCCTGTTCGCATCAGTCTTCTGTACCCGGTGCAACTTTTATTCTCCTCAGGATGACTCGACTTAGTATATTACTTGGCGTGGACAAGCGCATTATTTCACGCCAGTTCTTGAAGAGGTGTAAGTCTCCTTGGCATAACCTATTTATTCTTGTTAAATGTCTGCGGAAGATGAACAACAGTGAGGTTTTTTGTTTCCTGAGAACTACTCGAGATGTTTCGAGAAAATTATCTAGGATGAAATGAAAAGCTTCTGAATGCGACGACCTAGAAAAGTTGATGATAAAAAGTACACTGAGATACTCAACATGTACAAATCAAGATCTTTTCAATGTATAAACCATATACTAATGTATTAAAGTGCACATTTACCTCGTGACTTCATGCTGAAGCTGTTGGCCAAACGAACTGCTTCATTTATCAGTAAATGTGTTAGTGAATCTTACTGTGCTTGATATTTCGAAAGTAGGAATTAGAACTTTTCTCTCTCTTCACTACTACTACTGCTACGGAATTCCACAGTCGTCTTGTCCCACTCTCAGACGCTCACTATCATACGCACATTGTATCAGCACGAATATGACTGTTTAAATCTGACAGCCTACTTAAATCATCGTCCCAACTTAATTTCCACGGGGCTCAATCCATCACCAGTAGATGCCTAACCAGACTGCATTACCATTAGAAAACATTGACAACCAAGACCTACTCACCAGCAAACAAGCAGACTGCAATGAAGACCAATGAGATACAAACTGAGGAGACTCTTAGATGACATCGTGGGTCAAGCTGTCGAGCGGAACGTAAATGGAAAATGGTGGGTTAAAGCGACTGACTGACCTCAACATAGAACTTTGCACAGAAGTGCAGCAGTTTGAGTCACCACACACCCTCCATGTTGCATACAGAGCAAGAAAGTAAAAAAATGTAAAGTAGAGACACTAAACAGAGATATGAGGCAAAAAGATTAGTTATATCAAGGAACCATATTTTCTATTGGATATTATAAATCAACATGCGGTAGATGCATCTGCGCCAGCCATTGAGAACGACCATTTTAAGCCATATCACCAACTGTCTCCAGCCTTCATTGGGTTTTACCGTCCCGAGGACTCCAACCGGTCAGGAAATCCACACCTCCCTACGTGGTTGGCTTAAACTAACTGTTGTGGATTTGACTGACTGATGAAGTCATGTTTTGGTTTGACCACCACCGGCTAACTCTTTTCAACCTCACCCTATGTCAGCTGACATCGCCCGTCGGGGAAGGCGATGGGGGTAAAGCCAGGGTCCTACGGTGACTTGGAGGACATCATCTCACAAGGACATGAGAGCTTATGGGCGAATGTGAAGCCAGCTAGAGTGGACTGCAGACAGCAGGATGAAACGGAGATGTGCTGTGGATGCTTTATTTTTTCGCGTGGACCTATGGGAATAATAATAAAAATACAATAGGAAGTAAGTGCAAATGGAGCAAAGGAAAACTCGTAAGTAAGTCTATTCACCCTAAGGGTTCACCTTTCCGCCGGAGTATCTCAGGATAGAAATCCAACTCCACTCTTCGAAAGCCAACTCGCGTAGAAAATTAGCTATCACACTACAGATGTACAGATATTTGTGGAATATAATTAAGTCTAACAGTAATTTATAATATGAAGACACATAATCATATGGTTTTATTCATAAACATCTAAATAATGTTAAGTCTCCAAAATCAGCCTGACCAAGTCATGTCTCCAAACAGTTTGTAAAAATCTATTTCTCGAAGATGGCTCATAAGGTCATACACGAGCCTTACATCAAAAACAAAATCTTTTCATTCAAATATTAATTGATTCGACGTTTGACAAAGAAAATACGGCGACAGAAAAAACTGGGATAAATAAGAAAAAAGAGAGTCCCCGAAAATAATCACCTGAAAACAATTTTTACGTTTTTCAGCAGCTTAGGGAATAAAAAAGGAGAATATTTGTAGAAATTGTCATAAAGACAACAGACATTTGAGTCCAACATTTAACTATTGAAAAATATGCTACTTATAAGTAGTCACATTATTATAACTGAAAAAACACATCCTCTCTTGTACATTCAACTACTACTTTCACACTCGAATAAGGACAACGGAAATGAACAGAAAGGGACAGAGACAAACAATAAAAAATATTGAATATCACATTAATGTTTATCATTAACGCTTTCTGTTAAAAGGACAGTAGGTGTTTAAAATAAATAATAAACAGGAGAAAATGATAATCAGTGATTATTCTGTGATGAATACAATACCATAGAGAATATCACTCATCCGACTGTTATTATCATCATCCTCATCAGTGTGTGTGTGTGTCTCTTTGTCTGCATAACTCGTAGTTTAAATATTGCTACAAAGTTTAAATACAAAAAAAATGAATGTTTAAAACAATCAAGTAAAACAAGTGTTGATCAAGAGTGAAGGACTGTGTGTATTTGAAATTGTGTTCAATGTTTATATAGCCAAATGCAAACAAATAATATTTACGCTACTCAGGTAAAATGGAAATAAAATATATTTGAAAAAAAATTGTATATAGTAATGGAATAAATGCTAAGATTTCAATACACGTTTATATATATATATATATATATATATATATATATATATATATACTCGATATAGTTTATAATCTTGTAAGAAATAAGCATAATAGGATTGAGGAAATTGTTAAGATTGGAGAGTGGCTACAACCCAGGATTGATGAACACTTTGGATAACAGAACAGTGCAGCAGAGACAACAGCATTCGGTCGATAGAAGGTTGTAAACCATTCTGATTTTTCAAAACGATTTCTTGTAGCAACTTCAATCTGAAAAGAAAAAAAACATGGGGTTCAAATAATGTGACTCAATAAATAACTGAGAGAAACTTCATATTTGGTTGTTACAGCAGGGAATTGTCCGGAAGTGCCCATGAACACTTAAACCTGCATGGCTGTCAATAGGAGAATGCAGGACAGGTAACAGCTTAATTATGGTCACGCAGGATCAGCAGAGTAATGTATATAGAGTACTGTGGAGAGTGCTCCTGGTAAGACTTATCAGTAGTATATAAAGAGACGTTCATCCTCAAAAAAACATCAAATAGCAGGGAAATACATTTGAATTCAGTGAAGGCAAATGATACAGCGTTGTGGAGATACATAGGAGGTGTGAAATCAAAATAAAGGAACACAATATGAAGTTCAGAAGTACCACAACACGAAGATCTGTGTGAATGGTGCCTTGAAGATAAGGTGTACATAATTTGTTTGTATAGAGATACCTTTGTCTTTGTCTTCTCCCGTTACGATTGGTGTCACTGTCAGTGGCTGCTTTCGAGGAAGGAGACATTCGGAGCTTCTTGTGGGATTTTGAAGCCATTGCTCAGTTGGTTGGCGTAAAGGTTTCGAAGGCGGACGTTCTGGGGACGCTGCTGAGGTTGAGAAAAGGTGGTGTGCAACAGTATGGGGTGGTCAGGTGGAACGGAGAGCTGGAAGCTGTTGGTTGAACGATTGGAGGCAGAGTTCGACCACCCAACGCACACGCAACTGGCGATGCAGCAGTTCCGTGCCGCGAAGTTGGGACTGGATAGAGATCCACTAGGAATCTACTAAGTCGTGCACTCCTCACGTTGGACGAAGAGTCAGGGTCCCATTTATTGGCATCTCAGTTCATCGGGAATGTTCCACACCATATTTCTCAGCAACTACAATCAAGCCAGTATTGGTGTTGCATTATTTCATTTGCATGTTCCTGGTGTTGACATGATTAGTAGAGATTTAGTAATTGATATATTTCTCCACTTAACAATATTACCTTTGAATGTTTTTACCTAACCACACTGTATTCTTTGGCTACATGCAGTGCTACATGCATGCACTGAAACGGCCAAGGATTTTTGACTTAGATTAATTAACATGACAGAGCCAATAATTTCAGCTCTAGTTAAATTTCTATGTCCCGATAATTTAATTCATCTCGATCTACTAGTTTGACCTATGTAATTGACCTCATCGACCATAATGTAGTATTGCATAAATTAGCTCGTTTCACCCAATTGAGTCTGTCAGATCCATTCGCCGATAAATTTCGCCTGCTGGTGAGCAGGTTGATTTAAATGACACTCTAATTCTTTCATTGTTAAGAATCCCACCCAATAGCTTTGATGTTCTTTCCTTATATATTGGTACTAGTAAAAACAACGTACTGGTATTGCTATGCATGGATTGCTTTTCTAAGGCACAGTTTAGTCATTTATTCATTCTTGTGAGTATGAGAGAAATGAATGTTGAAAGTCAGACAATTAGAGCAAAAGTTCATAAATCCCATTACTGTTATCCTTCAACAGTTAAGACTAGTAATAGATAGCAAAGCATTATTAGAAACGCTAGACTTCTTCTTCTGTTCATGTGTACTCTTCAGATCTTAGGTCTTTGTTAAGCAATAGTCATAGAGATGATAAATTTAAAAAGCATATAAGTAGTCAACAAAATTTCAGCCCCCCCTGCAAATCCTAATAAATAAACGTGGCTAGCACATGAATCCAGGATCGGCATTTCGTCCTAATTGGGACTCATCAACTCGACCTGCCTGTTTAGATAAATCGACGTGAACTCTTGAAATCCATAGCATGTTGCGACGTATTCATTTTGCTGTTATTGTGGTTTCCTTTGTGTTAATTGTGTCAAGTGTTTTTAGGGAGACTTTGACGAATAATGAAACTCATAATAAAGTAGAGTAGAGGTGGGAAGTTGATATATTTAGAACCTAAACACGTCTTCACTTTATATATGTATATATATAACTTGGGCACCGTGGTAGTAAGTAATTCCATATAAGTTTGTTTATTAGATATATCACAGGGTGAGTGAATCAGTATTATTTACTGGATGACCTTTCTACCAAATTTATTGTTCATAATCATTTCATCATTTATAATCACTCGACTTCGAAACTTGAGTTTTATAGTTTTCATTGTTCTCTCTTATTTGTCGTCGTTAGGGTAGTAGAATTCTCCAGACATCTGGCTGGACAGGTGTTGAATCATTCCTAATACACGTGTTGATTCGCAGTTGATTCGATAAATAAAGCTTCCCTTATCAATCTCTCCCTCCACTCTCCTGTTACATTAGATTTTAAAACTGTCATCTTATCCCATCCAGCCTATTGTATGGTTGTGTGTAACTGCATGTGGTGAGTGATACAGCTGAACTATTCTCTAGGTTTATTATCTTATTCAGGTCAACCCATCTAGATTTTGCTAGGTTTCTATGCTCGACTAGTCTGACTGACCCCGTTCTACTAGTTTCACCTACGCATTTGACCTGACAATCATTGCAGGTAGCGTATTAGATAAACTAAATTGTTTTGTTTTAAAGGCTCCACAAGCGGGATCCTTTGACTGACAAGCTTGTGTCTAATTGAGTTTTTGGGGTGGGAGCAGGGTTAAAAGCCACTCTTATTCTTGCCTGTATTGTTAGGAATTCCGCGTAAGGTTTCCGACGATCCTTCCTTATATGGAATTACTACTGATGATTTAGATTCCTTATTGTTGGTGTTGACATTATCTTGTGCATGTAGAGCTGGGAAACCATGCATAAAAATGGGGTGTCTACAAAGAGTTTTAATCTACATCTGAATAACAGAAGATTTTTCAACTTATCTGTCGAAAAATTCTGACATACAGTTCAAGGTGAAAATTTCCCTCAGTTTAGTTTTAAAATCCAAATTATTCAGGTTACAATATATGATCTGCTTAATACTATAAAAGAGGATCAAAAAAGTAGGCATAAATGCATGACGCAGCATACTACTGATCGATTTATATTAATAGTTGAACCCTACTCACTTCTACCTCTCAAAACTGTGTAAACTGTAACTCACAGATTTGATTTAATGTACTGCTGTGGTGATAGCTGCCTGCGAACAAGCCGAAATTGTAGACAACAATTAACGTCAATGTTTACGTCCCGAATCGGAGCCATGAGAAAAAAACAATAGCAAAGCTTAACCTTGAGGAACTCAACAACCAATCACAACAGACTTTACGATTCGCAGATATATGGCTTAACTTTCTCAGAAACGATCACAAGCAGTACAGAATAACCTTGAGCAAGAAAACAACCAATCAGAAGACGTTGCTTCTCTGCTAACAATAACGAATAATAATGGACATAGAACTCTATAAATATCTATTGATTTGCTGAATAAGCGATCTGTTGCCTGGCCCTTGTCTTCTGTCGGTATATTTGGTGTCGCTGCCTACCGACAAATGGAAAGCCTATGTCTTGCAGTTTTTGATGGAGACATATGGATTTTCGGGCAGGACTTCGAGGCTGTTGCGCAGTTGAGTGGCATTCAAGATCCGTCAACCAGGGGGACTGTTACTAGGAACGCTGTTGAAAGGTCGGGCGAAGGTAGCTTATGAAAGTGTGAGGTGAAACACCGACGAATGCGCGCCAGGGTCAGGCAAACAGCATCCAAACTGGGAAGAAACACATGTGGTCTCTTTGAGACAGGGTTATGTAGATGCGATCGTAAATGTAAACAAGGAGAAACAGATGAACGTCAGAGAGCAGCGGGATATCAGACAGCAAGAGAAACGAACAAAGTCACCAGAACCCAGAAGACCAAATCAACTTCACTCGAAAGTCTTTACGGGAGGACGTGATAGAGAGCTGTCTGCTAGGCCAAATTGTAGAAACCAATTTACACCAATGCTCACATCCCGAATCGGGGTCACGAGATAAAACAATAACGAAGCCTAACCTTGAGGAACTCAACAACCAATCACAGCGAACTTAGCGTGGGCGGATACGATTCTCAGATATATCACCCGGCTGTCTAAGAAACGGCCACAAAGAGATGACAAAATAACCTTCAGTGAGAAAACAATCAATCAGAAGACGTTACCTCCCTGCTATTAATAACGAATAATAATGTACACAAAAATCTATAAATATCTGTTGATTTTCTCAATAAATGATCTGTCGCCAGAATTAAGTTGGTTTGAGCTGATTCACTCCTTTGATCTGAGTCAAATTAGGTACACCATTGAAGAACTCAGCTCGAAACAGAGGAGAAAGGCCATCTGGTGTTTCGATTATTTTGGTCTGGCTAACTAGCAATAACTATTTGTTGGTGTGAATGATGTCCGAATATTGATGACGTTTTTAAATACACACATACATACATAAATAAGCAATCATATTTCAACGAGAACTGTTCATCAAAATAGCATAGGACAGAGAGAGAAAGGGAAATAAAAAAGGTTTATTGTAACTTACTTCATAAGTGACTTGAGTATCAGGTACTGGTATCTCACAAGGGATTGGATTATCACCAGCCCATTTAATCCCAGTGTACTCATCCTCTTCCTCATCAGTACCGATATTCTCACTTTTGACACGATAAGGATTATCATTTTCCCCACCATTCAATCCTGTTGTTGTTGATGAGGAGGACGCTAAATTCTTGCATACTTCCACGTCAGACCATTCTCCATAACCAACCAGTTGTGTTGGATCATAAGTGTTATTCGACCGAGCATAACGATATCTAACGAGTAGATCAGACAGTTCTGGTCTTGCACCACCTTCATATGGGCATGGATCACCCAAAAATGTTGAAAATCGAAGATATTGAGATGTTGGACTTAGAAAGACAACATTCTGTAGCATATTCAGAAGGAAGAGAAAAATAATTTTCATATAGCGATTAGATAATACAGCAGTAATAATAATGATAATAAATTGTGAAACCAAGATGAAAATGTACAACTACAGCACAGCGTACAGTTAGCATAACAAATAAAATATGGGGGTGGGTATCATAGCAACTTGATAACTAGACAAAGATTGAACGCTGTTGTGGTTAAAAAGACTTTTTATGCAGCTAATATCATAATAATGATAACTGAGAATGTGAACCGAAATATATCCATCCATCTAAGCCCTTTAAACATGAGAAAAATGATGTCACATCCCACTGTATTTACCAGTTTTAATGTACGTGTGGACAAACATACATAGGGAGGACTAATCGATCTCTGCAAGTAAGGGCTGGCTTCAGAGCATATTCCTAAATGGCTCCAGAAAGAAATGGAATACCCAGAACCCATAAGGGGTGGCAACAGGAGTCCTAGCTCCTCTAATACGAAACATATTATAGAAACAGGACATAAAAATGATGTTTACACATCTTTTAAACCTATTCACTGCATAACGTTTTTGAGGCACTTCCTAAAGTTTGTAGAAGCCCTAGCTGGCAATTAGGATGTTTAAACCACCTTTATGCATTCAAACCAACAATTCGTCATCATACTAAACCACCTTCTTTGGTAAATTTTGTTTTGATACCAGTCACGGTAGATTTACTATTACATCTCTTATTTGGTTTAGTGATCTTCATTGTTATTTTGACCTTCAACATGTCCTTTTAACTTGACCTAAGTAGTCTATTTTCTCACCTCTTACCTCTTTGTTAATTTTGTATGAACATTCCTAAGACAAGTCCGTGGAGTGTGATCAGATTGTTGGAAATGTGTTACTCAAATACAACACTACACGATTCAGACAAATTACATCTTATTGCTTTATCTAAATTCATAAAGGGAACTAATTGTTTTAAAAGTAATATCCGGTGTCACCGGGAGAAATAACTATTTTAGGTTAGGGGAGAAGGTCAACGGAGAGACAGAGAGATTGAATGAACTTTTTCTGAACACAGAAATTAGGTTGAAACATTATTTAATGGCAATTGCCTCGGCTATACTTAGCAACCGAAGACGTACCAACGTACGAAGTTGAAGCTGCACCTTGTATAGAATTGTAAAAACTGAATTTTTGTCAATCTTGTGCTTGAATTTACGACTCCTTTACCCGGCCGCGTCGGACAATGCCCTATAAGGCGACAGTGGGCTTGTCGAGTTGTTCTAACTATATAGCTGTCTACAAATGAACAGTTAGATTTACGAATGTACACTGAAGTGGCAAGACTCGGTAGCTTATCCTTCACCTGCCTTGGTATTATGCAAAAAGTGGTGAATTTCAAACACAATTTTGGGATAAAGAGTGTTTTAGCTATTATCTTTTGGAGTTTTGATGCCAGCAATTCAGTAGGTGTGTCTCCTCTTTAAGCCGTAAAGTCATGTATATACGTTTTTTCTTGACCGTTTGCAGGCTTTTATTTCCATTTGTTCTCTCCATAGAAACTTTAACAAATTTTTGAGGGGTATCCATTCTCATTAAGTAAGTTTTCTGTTCTCCTTATTTCATCGTCTAGACTGTTGGTTGTGCAGATTTTTCCAGCACAGTACATCAGGGTACGGATAAGATTTCGTTTGTATGGATGAGGAACGAAAGACATAAAATATGTGTAATCGTCAACCCATGACTTCTTCCGGAAAATGCCTCGTTTAATAAAAAATTTTTTTTAAAACAGCCTTGATATATATAATGACATTACATAATGCACTAACTCCAACAGAAATTAATTCGTTTTTAATTTGAACTTAATTTCCGGAGCTGGTTTCTCATGTTACAGTCTGTGAGCCAACACCTACCGTGTGAAGATTGAATTAAATGGAGCGGGATTCCAGTCCAGGAACCCACTAGTTGAAAATTGAGTGTTTAAGCAAATGAATGCGCCACTTCTCCGATTAGAGTCAAGTGGCAAGAAGCCTTGGACCTTGGGTTCATGCTTGTTGGTACTCATCAGCAGTCTTGAAGGGACTCATTTCCCTTCTGAGATCCAAAACCTGGTCATCAGCCAGTGTTGTGATCAGATACGTTACCACTGAGCTATTCAGGCTCTTTTGGACTGCCAGATAGCTGTTTCGTCCTAGTTCGCCACTGTCCAGTAGTCTGTACCTACCACAGTATGAACTTAGAAGCTTCCGGTCACCAGACCAACTCATAAACCATTCAACTAGTGGGACGGAAGCACTCATCCACTAGGAGTAATAATAAAGATTGAAATATTGTCGGTATTAGATGGTTGGAGGCAAGTGACAGGAAGCCTTGGACATAGGTTTCGTGCTAGCTGGTACTCACCAATCAGCAAGGTGTCTCTGCAACTTTGAAGGAATTCATGTTGCCCACCTGAGATTCGAACGCATGTCACTGACTGCACCGAAGATAGGACTAGACACATTACACTAGTTACTGACTAGTGTCCATTCAAAAAGATTGACGTATGAAAAGAAAACACGTAGTTCAGTGAAGAGTCTCTTTTCGGCGAATTCATTTTCTTAGCTATAAAATCGCAAATATGTGTGAGTAGTTTTACATGCGTGTGCACATTAAGTTTGTCAAACAAAAACACAATTGGTTATGGTTATTTCAACTAAAGGGGGGGGTGAGAATTAGTAATTAATGACAGTAATGATCGCAGTCTACTGCTACAGACGTCTAATTGTTGCCATCCCTCAATAAGATTCATTCTTGAAATGGAAAACGAATCAAAAAATCCTTTCCTTGATGTGGAACTAACAAGAACTAATGGAACCTTAAGAAGATCGATCCGTAGAAAAGCTAATTGAAATGGTCAGCTAACAAGCTTCTATAACTGGGTACCCATTCAACAAAAGCGGAATTTAATTAAATCCCTTGCCACCCGCATCCGACGCATCTGTAGTTCCAATGTTCTAGAAACAGAATCAGATATTCTAAGAGAAATTTTCATCCAAAATGGATACCCACCTAGATTCATTGTTAAAAGTTTCAAAGCAAGAATTTGGAGAAATGAAGCTTCACTTGCGCCTAAAAAGAAACTCTACATGAACTTGGATTTCAAAGGAGATTTAACAAGGGATATTCTCAAGAAAAAGGATCACATCATGTCTGAGAAGATCATTGTTTGCAGCAACGCTAAGAATATTGTTCTCCAATCGCCCACTGATCTGCAGAAGCCTCAAGGACAAGATCCAGCATCTTACCACTTCCATGTGCACATACCAGTTCATCTGCTGCTGTGGAGCCAGGTACATCAGTCGTCCGACGCGCACCCTGTCCAAGAGGATTCAAAATTACTATCCAGCATGGTTGCAAAAAGGCAATAGTGTTGCTATAAGGAGTGCGATAATTGAACACCTGGTTAACACTGATCATTCCATCTCAGCAAACGCCTCCTTCTAATTAATCTAGAGAGTCAAGAATAGCCTACCAAAGGCAATACAGTTTCCTCTTCATTGTATTGTTGAAGCTTTGGCCCTTCACATAGAAAATCCGGAGCTGCGCATACATGAGGAAATTACTCAACCACTTCTACTATCATGGTAACAACTTTGTTGATTTTGATGACTTAATTGTTGTTGTTTGTTCACCTGTTTCTTTAATTGCTTGTAATTCTTGTATTCATTTAGAACTTTTACGTAATTTCGTATTCTCTACTTTGTTCCTATGCGTATCCTGAGTACAACTCAATCATCAAACTATTCATATTATCACGTAACTTCTTTTTAACAACTGTTTGTGACAACTTATCACTTTTGCTACTACCCTAGTTTCATTAACATTCAATTTTATTGACTGGTTTTGTATTACGTGACTCCACCCAAAACTTACTGGATCTCACCCCTTCCCTACCTATACATACTTTTTTTTATTATAGCTTGATTCCACACCGTATTTTTGGTACAGGTATGGAATTTTCAGCATGCGATATCGGTAGCCCGATTTTGCAGACCGACTACTGATATCGAGTGTGCGTCGGCAGGGGATTGAATCCCGAACCATGTGCATGGTTGGCAAGAGTGCACACCGCTGTGCCACCACTTGCAATTGTATAGCTAAGAAAATGAATTCGTCGAAAAAGATTGATATATATCATCATTTAGGAATAAGGTGAGTACGACATACGCCACATTTTACATTTCTGCCGTGGCTGTTCCGTATGATGGATCAACTAGCTGTCTACTAGTAAGTAGTACTGATTTTCAAGGAATTCCATGGAAAAGAGTACAATATCCAAACCAATCGAAGAGGTGATGACAGCCAACCAGAGTAAGCGAAAGTAATTACATTATGGGTTAATTTTGTTATGATAAAGTCTCACAGTGTTATACAGTAATGTATACTGATGACGTTTCAAGCACAATTTATCACTGTATCCGTCTACGCAAAGCCTTTGTTCTCATTTTCTCACCACCAATATTGGTGACATAAACACTGACGTCAATTACTGTCTACCAACTTTCGCTAGCAGCCAGCTCTCATCACACTTAGATGGTATAACTGTAGATGATTTATATTCTCTCTTATTTATGTTATTATCACTAGTTTCAGAATTGTTTTTCTTTTTCTTTTGGCCTTTTCCAATCTTCCTAATGAATTTTATAGGATAGTTAGCTATTTAACACCAACGCTTCTATCTGTTTTATTTCCTCGTTGAGGTCTTTTTTCGTGCTACTTAATGCTACTGCTCGGTTTGTTAGACACTTAACTAAGCATGCCTTAACAGTTAAAGGATAAGACGAATTGAAATCCAAATATCTATCAGAATGCATTGGTTTTCTATAAACACTAGTGTGTAGTTTGCCTTCTTCTATTCGTTTTATTTTAAAATCTAACATAGCTAATTCTCCTTGCTCATTTTCGGTTTCAAATGTGAATTTTATTCCCTCCACTAGTGAGTTTATGTGTGTCAAGAAGCTAGAGATATGTTCTGATTT